ATTGGGTTCATTGGGGTTTTTTCCTTTCCTTTCCTTTTTCTTTTCTTTCTTTCCTTTTTTTTTTGCTATTGAGTTGTATGAATTCTTTATATATTTTGGATATCTTATTAGATATAATGTTTGCAAATATTTTTTCCCATTCCACAGGTTGTCTTTTCACTTTGCTGATGTTTTTTGTTTGTTTGTTTTTATTTTTGTTTTGCTATGCAGAAGTTTTTAGTTTGCTGTAGTCCCACTTGTTTATTTTTATTTTGTTTCTTGTGTTTTAGGTATCCAAAAAATCATTACCGAGACCTATGTCAAGGAGTTTTATTCCTATGTTTTCTTCTAGGAGGTTCATGATATCAGGTTTTAATTTAAGTTTTTAATCCATTTTGAGTTAATTTTTGTGAGTGGTGCAAGATAGGTGTCCAGTTTCATTCTTTTACATGTAAATTCCAATTAGCTCAACACCATTTATTGAAGACTATCTTTTCTCCATTGAGTACTCTTAACTCCCTTGTCAAATATTAGTTGAACGTATATATTTGGCTTATTTCTGGGTTCTCCATTATGTTCTTTTGATCTGTGTGTCTGTCTTTATGCCAGTACCATACTGTTTTGATGACTACAGCTTTATAGTATAGTTTGAAATTAGGAAGTATGATGCCTCTTGCTTTGTTCTTTTTTCTCAGGATTCCTTTGGTTATTTGTGGTTCCATATGAATGTTAGGAGTGTTTTTTCTACTTCTGTAAAATATGCCATTGAAATCTTTATAGGGATTATATAGATGGGTTTTGGTAACATTGACATTTAACATTAATTCTTCCAGTCAATTACCGTGGGATACCTTTCTATTTATTTGTGTCTTTGTCAATTTCTTTCATCAGTATCTTGCAGTTTTCAGAGTAGGGATCTTTCATCTCCTTAACTAAATTTATTCCTAAGTATTTTTTTTGTTCTTGATGCTATTGTAAATGGGATCAACTTCTTTATTTCTTTTTCAGAAAATTTGTCCGTAATGTATGGAAACACTACTGATATTTGCATGTTAATTTTGTATCCTGCAACTTCACTGAATTTATTAATTAGGTCTAAAAGCTTTCAACCTTTTATCATTGAGTATTATGTTATCTGTGAGTTTGTCATATATGGCTTTTATTATGTTGAAATATGTTCCTTCTGTGCCAAATTTGTTAAGAGATTTTTAATCACAAATAGATGTTGAATTTTATCAAATGTTTTTTCTGTATCTATTGAGATGATCATATGATTATTTTCTTTCATTCTATTAATATGATGTATTATATTCATTTGCTCCTGTATATTGAACTATGCATGCTCCCCAAATCCCACTTGATCATGATGTATGATCCTTTTAAGTACTGTTGAATTCAGTTTGCTAGGATTTATTGAGGTTTTTGTTTTGTTTTGTTTTGTTTTGTTTAATCTATATTCATCAGGAATTTTGGCCTGTAGTTTTTTCTAGCAGTATTTTTTTTTCTGGTTTTGGTATCAGGATAATGTTGGCCTTGTAAAAGGAGCTTGGTTATGCTCCCTCCTCTTAGATTTTTTGGAAGAGTATGAAAAGGATTGGTGTTAATTTTTTAAATGTTGGTAAAATTCATCCATGAAGCTATCTGGTCCTGGGCTTTTCTTCGTTGAAAGATTTTTTTTTATTACTGATTTAATCTCCTTACTAGTAATTCATCTATTCATAATTTGTATTGCTGCCTGATTAAGTCCTGATAAGTTGCATGTTTCTAAGAATTTTTCCATTTCTTTTGTGTTGTTCCATCTTGGGGCATATAGTTGTTCATAGTAGCCTCTTATGATACTTTATATTTCTGTGGTATCAGTTATAATGTCTCCTTTTTCATTTATAATTCTGTGAATTTTCATCCTTGCTATTTTTAACTTGGTTAATCTAACTAGGGGTTTGTCACTTAGTTTATATTTTCAAAGAACCAACTGTTAGTTTGGTTAAACTTTTCTATTGTTTTTTCTGTTCTTTATTTCATTTATTTCTTCTCTAATATTTATTATTTTCTTTCTTTTAACTTTGGAATAAGTTTGTTCTTTTTTTCTAGTTCATTAAGGTGTAGACTTGGGTTGGTTATTTGACATTTTCTTGCTTCTAAAATATAGGTGTTTATTGCTATGAACTTCCCTCTTAGAACTGTTTTTATGGCATCCCCCAAGTTCTGATATGTTTGTTTCCATTTTTGCTTATCTCAATAAACTTTTTTTTAATTTCCCCTTTAATTTCTTCTTTGACCTATTGGTTGTTCAGGAGACTGTTGTCTAATTTCCATGTGTTTGGGATTTTCCATTTTTCTTATTGTTATTAATTTCTAGTTTTATGCCGTTGTGGTCAGAAAAAATACTTGGTATGATTTCAATCTTTTTGAATTGCTAAGACTTGTTCTGTGTCCTAACATATGGTCTATCCTAGAAAATGTTCCAAGTGTACTTGAGAAGAATGTGCATTCTTACTGTTGTTGGATAGAATGTTCTATATATGTTTTTAGGTCCATTTGGTTTATAGTGTTATTCAAATCTCTTGTTTTCTTATGGATTCCCTGTCTGGATGATCTATCCATTGTTGAGAGCAGACTATTAATGTCCCCAACTACTGCATTACTGGGGTTTTTTTGTTTGTTTTCGTTTTGTTCTGTTTAGTTCGGTTAGTGTTTGCTTTATATATTTAGGTGCTCCAAAGTTGGGCACATAAATATTTACAGTTGTATATCTTCTTGATGTATTGACAATTTTATCATTATATAATGACCTTCTTTGTCTCTTTTTACCATTTTTAAAGTCTATTTCATCTAAGTATAGCTATCCCTTCCGTTTTTTGTTGTTATGGTTGTTGCTATTTGCTTGAAATGTCTTTTTACATTCTATTACTCTCAGTCTATGTGTGTCTTTAAGGCTAAAATGAGTCTCTTGTAGGCAGGATATTGTTGGATTTTTTTTTTAATCAATTCAGTGATTCTTTGTCTTTCAACTGGAGCATTTAATCTGTTTATATTTAAAGCAGTTATTGATAGGTTAGGACTTCCTATTGCAGTTCTGTTGTTTTCTGGTTGTTTTGTAGATCTGTTTTTCTTTATTTCTTATCCTGCTGTCTTCTGTTGTGCGTTTTGATGTCTTTTGGTATCAGTCTGCTTTGACTTCTCTATTGTGTTCTTTTGTGTAATTTTTATAGGATTTTCCCTTGTGGTTATTATCAGGCTTACATAAAATATCTTAAACTTATAATTCCCTATTTTAAACTGATAACAACTTAATTTCAATAGAATTCCTAACTTTACACTTTTACTTCTCTTTCCTCTCACATTTTAGGTTCTTGCTGTTACACACACACACACACACACACACATTTTATATATATGTGTAACTAATAACAGGTTATTGTAGTTCTGGTTATTTTTACTAATTTCATGGGTTTTTTAAAAACTGGAATTTTAAGTGAATTATGCACTACTGTTGCCACGTTGCAATGTTGTGTTTTCTTGTAATTGACTAAATTTCCTTAAGATCATTATTCTGAATTCTTTGTCTGACAGTTCATAGATCATCATTCTTTAGGTCAATTGCTAGAGTTTTATTAATTTCTTTTGGTGGTATCATATTTACCTGATTTTTTTTTGTGATCCTTGATTCCTTATGTTGGTATCTGTACATTTGAGTAATGGGGCTCCTCTTCCAGACTTTATAGGTTTGATTTGGCAGAGACAGTTCTTCACCAGTCAGCTCATTTTGCCAGTGTGTCTGCTGGTAATTCAGGTTGGGCCTGCTCTTATGCTCTGTTTGGGGGCAAGGCCAATGTTCAAACTCTAAGGATAGGGATGGGGGCAGGGTGTGTGTGAGGTGTATGAGGTGTGTGCCATTGGCTGTGAACAGTAGCACAGGGTTTGCTGACTTGGTTTTCTTCCCAAGTGAGGCGGTAGGGTGGGCTCCATGGTTGCCTGGATTTTCTGATCAGGCTTACTAGGTGGTCAGGACTGGGTTACTATATTCAGTAGTACATGGGACTATTCAGTAGCATCCCTTCCCAGGCAAGGCAACAGGATAGGACCCAGGGCCTGTACAACTCATTGCTTGGGGACTCAAATCAGGCCAAAATGAACACTGAATTCCCTGGTCAAGTGAGCCCACCAATTGTGTTCTGCAGATGGGGGAAAGCTTGGGCTATGCTCTATAGACTCTGAAGCTTCCTTTGTGCTCAGGTTTGGCTCCCTAGTTGGACAGGCTGAAGGCTGTATTCAGTGACAAGCAGGGCTACAAATTAGATTCCCTACCTCATCATAGAGGGAGAAGCAGCTCTAAAGCCAGTAAAGCTCTTTGTTGTCTTAACTCAAGCTGACCTGCACCCCAAGTTTCCTGACTGAACAGGGCCATAGGTTTTGTTCTGCAAACTATCAGCTGAAGCATATTATGTTATTTGTTTTTTTTATAAACCTTCCATTTTCCAACAAGGATTTAGGTAGCTTAGAAAGGATTTTATTTGTGGAAATGTTTGATGGAAGTTAGTTAAGAGTATTAAGTGACTGGAAATCTCAAAAATCCTGGGGTAGACAATAATTCTCCATGCATTATCTGCTGGGTAATATGGGATTTTCTTGTTTCAAAAAGATAGAAATAAAAAAGGTTCCATTTTGAGAGGGTTCACATTAGAGAAAAACTTCCATTATTCTCCATGTATCAGTTTTTTATTCCCACTAATGTTTCTATATTATTTGGTCAATCAGTTGCCAGTTTTTTTTTTTAGAGGTAAAGCAATCTACATGTTTCTGATTCTGGTGGGTACAGGACTCAATGTTACATGTATATCAGTTTGGGCTAGTAGATCTTTGCATTTTACACATTACTGAAGAGAATAGAATGTAATTAGGTCTCCCTTTTATATGTGTTGCAGCTTGTCTCTTTACTAAATCATTGTTTTTGCTACTCACTTATGTCATTATTTCTACCATCTTCATTGTTTCTTTCCAACCCAGAGTGAGACATTTACTCTAGCTTTGATGAAATACAAGAAGTGGAACTTGTTGGTCAACACATTAGAAAAACAGATGGAGAAGCAAAGAAGTGTGTGACATAACACATGCAGAAATTTGGATCTCTCCAATTAATCATGGTTCACAGCTGACAAAAAGGTGACAATAATTGATGTAACCCTTTGAGAAACAATCTGGAACTTCAGCACCCTGGGAAATCTTGTTCAGCTTTGCTCAGCTACTACTGAATTAATGTGTATTATAAATTGCTACTCAGAGGGGCACTTCATAAAGTCAGAATTTCTGGAACAAATCCCACACCATGAGACATCCCAGAAATCATCCATTTTTTTTTCTGGCTTCTCACCACTCAGTGTTGTGTCACTTACTGTAACAAGCACAGTCCACAGATAAAAGATGGAAGGGCCAGCTTTCATTGTCTGCGGTGCATTTTGCCAATGGAGGTAGTCTCCGTAACTGAATTTAATCCCTAGGAGGGTTACATGTTAGGTCGAAGTGTCTAAACTAGTTGTGTATTTGGGAACATGCAATGCTACATGCATGGATTGACTGGCTCTGCAGCTATAGGACATACAGCCCCACTCTTTTAGATGTAACCTCAGTCTAAGAGACTTCTCCTCAAAAGATGATGTAACTGTTGGCCAGACATTTTTGTCCTTGTAAAAGGTGGGCGCTTACACATAAGCAATACTTCCAAGTTCCACACCCGAATAAGGTAGTGTAACACAGATCTCCAGAGCAAGCACAAATGTATGAAACATGAACCGCTGGAGTTGCAAGAATATATTATGATTTTTATTAATAGTTGATTTTTAACTAGAAAAAAGAAAAAGCCTCATTATTTTTCTTTTCTTTTTTTTTTTTTTTTTATTTGACAGAGAGAGATAGCGAGAGCAGGAACACAAGCAGGGGGAGGGGGAGAGGGAGAAGCAGGCTTCCCTTGGAGCAGGGAGCCCGATGCGGGGCTCGATCCCAGGACCCGGGGATCATGACCTGAGCCGAACGCAGACGCTTAACGACTGAGCCACCCAGGCGCCCCCTCATTATTTTTCAACACAGAAATAGACCCTAGTCTCCTTACTGAGGAGGCTAGGCATTGTAGTTAAACAGACTGATGGATTGTTACCTAGTTTGGATCGCCGTGCTTCACCAAATAAACATGTGCTTTAAAAAAAATCTCTTTAAGTAAATCATGGATTACCAATAATACCAACAATGCAAGTAAAAGCAACTAAGAAGGAAATGGTAATATTGACAACTATTCCTGGTATCATCTCTTTGTAGACTGCATCACAAGATAAGAACAATGATTATCTAATCAGATCTTCAGAGATAATGGCCACAGTAATTTGAAATTATCTAGGAGACTATTTGAAATCAGGATTTACATCTGCTATTATGAACTATAGTTAATCGATTAAAGCTCAAATACTGTATTTCAGATTTAACTCTAAGATTCATAGTTTTATATAATTTATAAAGTATGAAATAGTAGAGTAAAATATGTATTTTTTGTGAATGAATGTATATTTATTGAGGATACATACTCAAAAATTTAAGAGGTCAACTGCATATTCAAATATAAACAATTTTTTAATATTCAAAATAAGTAAAGTGTAGTCAAGCATGAAGGATTGTTGAGATTTTAAGTATTCAAGGTGTGTAGTTCTAAAGTTATATTTATTTCAGGGCACCTGGGTGGCTCAGTCGGTTTAGCATCTGCCTTCGGCTCAGGTCATGATCCCAGGGTTCTGGGATCCAGCCCCACTTTGGGCTCTCTGCTCAGTGGGGAGCCTGCTTCTCCCTCTCCCTTTGCCTGTTGCTCTGCTTGCTTGTGCTCTCTCTCTTTCTCTCTCTCTTGCTGTCAAATAAATAAATAAAATCTCTAAAAAACAAATAATAGAGTTATATTTATTTCAATAAAAATTCACTTAACTTCAATAAAAAAAACTTAACTTCAATAATCACATGGGTTTTCTTTCTTTCAATCTTGAAAACCTAAAAGGCCATATAAGTAGCCAATAAGAGTCATAATCAAATGAAACAAATTATATTCACAGGTGAAGGGCCTTAACATTAACTTAATAACTTGTCTAAGATTAGAGAGAACACTCCCAAATCCCATGCAGAAACCTCATACTATCTTCAAGCCAAAATCAACCTAAAAATTATACCAACAGAATATTAAAACCAAGACTATTTTATTTTGAACTTGGGTGAATATAATCTAAGAACGGACTGGTGTACATTGCAGAGTGGTGCACATTGGATCAAACCATCACCGCAACCATCATCACTAGGAAATGACAATGCCATCACCTGCAAGCAGGCCATGAAATGAAGGTAAGTAATAGCTGTAACCTCTACCTCCTGGGTAATTTATATGTGCTAAAGCTCATTTTACCCTCACATCAGACAATGAAGTGACCATTATTATGTACTTTATACAGATGAGGAAACTGAGGTTTAAAATATTAGAGTGATGTCACAAATCACTAAGCTGACAAATGCCAGCTATGATATTGGAGTCCATACTAGAAGTCTGGTTCTATCAGAAACGAGATCAGATGTGAAATTGAGAGAAACAAATATTTCTTCAATATGATAAAGAGTTCCAAAGAATTTGGTCTATGGGGTGCTTCTAGGAAATGGCTTCTCTCTTTCTGGAGATAATGATGGAGTTATTGGGTGATTTCTGTTCAGTGATTTACAGAGAGAGATTCAGATGTTGGCTGGGGCTTGAGAATATATGTTCTCTTTCACTATCCTCCTCTATGATACTGCGATTTTATCCCACTGAACCTATCTTGAGGTTTCAAAGTTTTCTGAAGCTAAGGGGGATTATGTTTACTATTATAATGCTTATTGTTATCTTCATTTACACCAACATACCACATCATTTTTAAGCCAAGCAAAAAATCCTAGGAGTTAAAATTTTTATGGTTTTGCTAATGTAGAATTTAAAGGGACACTTACTTGCTAAGTAATTCTGAGGAAAAGGTCAATTGTTTCTTTCTTTTTGAAGCTCGGGAACTAGTTATTGCCATGAAATTGGTAATAAGTATATCTACAGAAGGTAAATAAATTTTTAAAAGGATTAAATGTGATTCTGAGTTGTATCTTTATAAAAAGCTCATGCAAAAGTGTGCACTTTTTTTTCAAGTGATGAACATGCAGTTGTCATATTACAAATAATTAAACATGTTTTTTGTAAGCACACTTATACATAACAATATGGATTTATTATTATAATAGCACACAGAGGTAGATAATATGTATGCACACATACATTCAAACATGTAACATATATGCCTTTAGAAAATGATAAGGACTGAAAACTATGTTAAGAACTTTGAAGGGTCTGAAATTTTACCCTACTTACAAGATAACAACCTACTGGTTTCAGGGATGCTAGCAGAAGACCTGAGACTCCTGGGTCAGAGACAAAAGACAGTTTACTAGTCATAGCAATAGTCAAAGTATCATCGTTTTTGTACCAATTCCCCCAAATCATATGGGATATTGTGAAGAAGACCAAGTAACACCTGCATGTGCACCAAATTGAGTAAGAAAAAAGGAACCATGAGCTTAGGGAACCAAAGCTTTTATAATGAGCAGTAAGTCTACCTGCCTTAACTCCAAAGGGAGACATTGTTTTTATTATACTGTACAATAATCAAACCTGCTCTTTCCTCTGGAGAGAACATGATTTCTCTTTTCTAAGGCTGTTTGCTAAACTAATACCCTTGAAAAGATATTCCTGAACAAAGGGAGTCAGTGCCTGTGTCTAAGCCATGCAGAAATGCAGGAAACTCATGGAGAATTGTCTTCCAACACCACCAGAAATATTTCTTGTCAGCATTTGGCTTGGAAAGGGGCACATGGCACAGCACTTGTGAAAGTCATCTGGACTTTGATCCCGTAATAGCCAAACACAACATTAAGACATGTTGAACGTATGGACTTTTCCCATCATGCTTCCTGGAAAGCACATGTTTTCTATTCAGGGGTCAGTCTGACACATTTGGTCCTGGAGACCAGCACAACTAGACTTGTGTCTGCATCACTTGTTGCCTGGGATCTGTTCTGCCAACCTGCCTTGTGGGACCCTGCAGAAGGGTGAGTAATGGAGCATTAAATACCAACAATCTGGCTATCACAAGGGCTTAATCTCTTTAAGCCCCACAGGGATCTGGGTGCACATCAAAATAAGCACACCAAATGTGACTTCCATTGACTCCTTAGGCAGAAGAGCCTAAAACACCAGTGAGAGCATATGAAACTCAGATTGTTTGTCTTATAAATGGCATATTAAGACATCTTCCTCTAAGGCAGCAACATCTAAGGCAGAGTCAATGCCACATTCCCCATCAGGGCACCAGCAAACAGGGGCACTGAATGGAAATAAAGTTTGAAAATCCCACATTCAATGAATTTATCCAGGACTTAGAACCACAGATCCAGAATGGAAGTATTTTAAATTTCAGCTTACAATGTAACCTTGTGATTTTTTTTTTTAAATACTGTTGTACTCTGAATTACATGTTATGTTGATGGTTGGGTGCTGTCGGGCATAATTATTCTTTTAATTCCAATGGTCTCTGATTATGACCCAGAGTCCAATAGAGAGAGCGTAAGATCTGATTTGTCCAGGGTTTGAATCCTGATTCTAGGCAAATTATCCTTTATGAACCTCAGTTTTCTCATTCATAAGCATAGATAATTATTTATTCATATAGGACTGTTGTGGAGATTTTTTTTTAAAGGTGCATTTAAAACAATATAGAATGTAACACATAGCAGATACTTAAGATAGCCTTGTGTGGCAGCCCAATACCCAAGGCCTGCCTTTTGTTTGAGTTTGGGCCACTCATTCTGTGGAGCTATAGGATTTTATGTCATGGGGCCATCCAGCTAAATACACAAGATTGCCTGCTTCAGACTAAGCTCAGGGAAAACAATAGTTGATAAAAACTGCCAGACTCGCTTCCTCTCCTGGAATTATAAACTTCTGTTCAAGTGCTGTGTTTATGTTGTAATCTTCTGTGTAGTGAGTGGGGGGAGGAGGAGACATTTGAGAAGAGCTGCAGCAGCCCCTTAGGTAGGAGATACACACAGAGAAAAATGTGTTGATGAACCGAAATCCTTGAGGTTTCCCTTGGAGTCAGCTGTACCCCATCAGCAGCAAAGATGTGTGCGTGTGTGTGATTAGCAAAAGTGCTTTAATGTGGATATAATTACCATATGCCCCACTGATGAAATAATGTTTCTAGCCTACATTATCTACCCACGTTTACAGTATGAACTAAACAGTGTTAAGTAATGTGGTTTATTTCATCAGCACAGGCCCTTCTTGTCTCTTCGAACACAGAGCCAGTCCTGGCTCTTCACTGGGTGAATGGAGTTTGTAAACTCCTCTTTATGGCCCCATGCTGTCTTCAACGTTAAGAATTTGGCTTTGTTTGCACAATTACTATTCTTTGTATTTTATTCTAAATCCCCATGTGGAAGAAATCTGTTTAAATACAGCTTATTGGACATGTTTTCTAAAGATGCATTAATAAGAAAAATGTGATTCAAATGTGTCGGGGAAGGCTTATTTGGAAGATGGTTCCCATTAACATAAGTACAGTATCCTACATATGTCATGTGGCATGATAATGTAAAATGTAAAGTAAAATATTTAAAGAAATGGATGATGAACATTACTTATTTTACAATATTGATATTTCTTCAATAATCACCTCTGATGTTATATTTAAAAGGTCTATTTTCAAATTTATTGACACATTCTTGACCTAAAACTATTACAGCTGAATCAAAATAGGAAATATCTTCTCTATGTATTTTCTCTATTATATAGCCATACATGTTTCAATGACTTGCACTAAGTCTGTGCTCAAAAAAACAAATCAATAAATGTGCATCCAGAATAATGGTTAATATTCTATTACTGTCTACCATCTGACTTATGCTATGTATAAACCAACATAATATGGGACATTTCTCTAGAACTCCCTGCAATTTTTGTTGTCAGAAATGTAACTAAATTTTCATGATATCCCTACATCATTTTGCTTCATCTTTTTCCTTTCCTCCTCCTTACTTTCTTATTTCCTTTTTCATTCACTCTTCCATCTTTCCCCAGTTCAATCCCTCTTTCACTCTCTTCTTCCTCTCTACCCCATTCTCTGTCATCATTCTTCATTTCTTCCCTTTCACCTCTCTTTTTATTTATGAATTACTTTAGGGCAAAGAATTAGTTAAGAATCCAAGAACTCATATTTATATCTTACTGATTAAAAGTACAAGTGTTGACTATGGTTTTATATTATCCATTTGTCTATTAATTCCAATTATCGTCAGTAATAACATATTGACAGAATGAGCTATGGTTTTAAATCTTGCCTAGGACAAGTTAAGAAAATAGGTTGAAAAGTTGGTTATTTTAATTTTTATATTCTATTAGTGGATTTGAAAAATAAGAAAATTTCTTTGCAGGAACAAATGAATCAACAATACCTCCTTGGGCTAAAATGCAAATCTCTCCAAAGCCCAAAGCCATGAAAGAATATCCTTGCGCGTAAGTTTTACTACTTAGCATGAATGTTGAACACTGTCTGCATTTATGCTATTGAAGGGAGAACTAGCCCCGGTTGCACATGATCTTTCCTTGAACATGGAGCAGACTCAATCAGGTAATCCTATTGATGTAATTGCATTTTATTGAGTAGAAACATGAACATTATCTCTATTTTGTTACCCTTATTCCTGAGATCCATCACATAGATTGTTCAGCAATAATAACACCAACTTGAAATCATCTATAAAGAATGGCAGGTTATGCCCTACCACTACCAGAACTCATATTTTCTTTTATAATAAATTTGATAGAGTTCATTTAGCTTCAATATTTTGATTTGACTGTGAATTTTCCTTATATGGCTTTTTTTTTAAGTGTTTTTAAGGAATAGATTGCCAGGTAAATTCACTTCAATTTAGTAAATACTTACTGAGAAAATTTTCGTGGGTGGAGAGGTTCTAGAGGTGACACTGAAAGCAAAATGATGGACTAGGAAGCTTCAGGCCCTTGTTCCCCTACAGAGACACTGACATGACAACAATATACAGACCAGAATATGTTTGTGAGAACTGTAGAGACCAGTTGAGACTAGAACATTCAGTTCAATGTAATCCCAAGAAAGGATGCCAGTGATGGGGCATTGTAACTTCCATTTAGTCTCTTGGATCCTTAGCTCTGGGGAAATTTAGCCACCATATTTCAGGACACTCGAGCAACCCTGTGGACAGTTCTAGGAAGAAAGGGACTGAGGTCTGCTGCCCAGAACCATGTGGGTGAGTCACCATGAAAGTGGATCCTTCAGCCCCAGTCAAGCCTTCAGATGACTGCAGCAATGCTTGATACCTGATTGCCAAATAATGAGAGCTCTTAAGCCAAACTATTGAACCTGGGTGATCCCAATCTTCTGACTCACAGAAACCATAGGAGTTAACACATAATGTATTCAAGACACTAAGTTTTAGAGTAATTTGTTATATAACAGTAAATAATTGTTATGGCTGAATTGTATCCTTCCCAAATTCATATGTTGAAGTCTTAACCCTGCACCTCAATTTGTGACTTTATTTGGAGCTAGGTCTTTACAGAGGTAATAAAGTTAAAATTAGGTCATTAGAGTAGGTCTTAGTCCAATAAGATTGATCTCCCTATAGAAGGGAAATCTGGAGACAAACATATTTACACGGAGAATGCATGTGTAGATGAAGACAGAGGTTAAGGTGATACTTTTACAAGCCAAGGAACACCAAAGATATTCAGCAAACCATGAGAAGTGAGGTGAGAAGCATGAACAGATTCTCTCTCACAGGCCTCAGAAGCAAGCAACTCTGCCAACACCTTGATTTCAGATTTTTGACCTCCAGAACTGTGAGGCAATACATTTCTGTTGTTTAATTAAAAAAAGAAGTGACACTAGGTTAAATATTTTGTGTTGATACATCCTCATCTTTTACAACCCTCCTCATACTGAAAATGATATATAACCCTAAACTCCATTTCCTAGAGTCCCTTGCAAGCAGGTTCCATAAGTTTTTGACAATGAGAAGCACTCACAGAGGTTGTAGAGCAGATAAAAAGGATGAGGCATGCCTTTCCAAGTGGCTACTGTAGTCAGGTGCAGGAATTTCAGCATATGGGCTAGGTAGGTGCATGGCATTTTGGTGTCTTCCTGAGCATTGCCCACTCTGATGTTACAGGCCGTTGAGGTCATTGTTGGTAGCTTCCCTGTGATCTCTGCAGTTTTGAATTTGCTAAAAGTGGCCTCCCTGACCTTCACTCCCCAAGTCTCTCAACCCCTAGGCTGTACAAGCCTCTGTATCTCTTTATCACTTCCTGTTGAATCCATTTAGTGTGGACCAGTTTCTCTGACCAGCCCATGACTGACTGATACAGGCACTGCTATTGCCCTTTAAGGTAAGTGTTCTATATGTTTATGTATATGTGTGTATAGTGAGTTGTTGAGAGAGGTAGTTTTTAATCCATTAAAATATTTCAACTTACCATTTTATTTTTATTCTACCAAGCACACGAAATATCTTACTATTTGTCATAAAAGCAATGTTATGGCATGTGCACTCAGATTTGATACACTGTTTTTTGAGAAGGTTGAAATCTAGTACTCTAAATCTTAAATATTTCAGAAACTTTAAACAACAGCTTAGTCAGGAAGGCTGAGGCATTTTTAAATATAGTATGTGCTCTATATTACTCCTTAAGAAACAGACTTTCTGGGTAATGGCTGTAATACTTGACTCTGTTATATGTCACAGCAAGACTAATAATTGAAGGTGAAGGAAACTGACCCTGGATATAACAGAGACAAATTAGACAGAGTATATTGATTTCTGATGTAACAGAGGGCCACCTGATGGGACTTTTTATTTATTGAAAGTGAAGCCAAAGTATTTTTCAGAGGTACTTTTTAATGATCCAACTATTAGGTGAACAAAGTTTTTAAAAATTCAAAGCAAGTGTTAACTAATCATTTGGAGTCTGGATATCACAGTTCACAGGGTCACTTCTAAAACTTATATTCAGTACTGGGTCTTATATGCAACTAATGAATCATTGAACACCACATAAAAAACTAATGATGTTCTATATGTTGGCTAATTGAACATAATAAAAAAATAAAGTAAAAAAAATAAAACCTATATTCAGCCTTCTGATCAATGCATGTTGGCTCTGTGTGTTTGGATGAAAAGAATGCAGAGTGGCAGAATCATAGGCATTCTCCAACCTCAAAAGAATTTATTAAAACAGATTATTAAATATTATACATATTTTTTCTTCTCACTTTTAGATGTAGTTGGAAAACACCAATATGTTCTAAGTGATAATTTCCCAGATTTAAGGTTATATCTAATTTTTCAGGGAAAGTTAGAAATCCAGATTTCATATATGTAGGTATTCTTATTTTGAAAAACCATCTACCTATTTATAGATTTTATAGCACTTCTTGTGCCAAGAAAGACATACCTATGGGTTGGATATAGCCTGTGTGACCTGCCAGTTCATAACTATTTTTTAAAGGATCTCAAACCAGAATGAATAACAAAGACATAAGCACTCATCTAGTTACCTAAGGTCTTGTTTAATAATAAAAGTCTATTTTAAATGTTTTTGAAATCACATATAAATATAATGGGCGACACGTCTTAGATTATGAAATCTGAGGGATGTCATTCAGGCTTTACCACTCAACTATGTGACCATGGAAAGGTTACTTAGGAAATGCAAACTTCCTAAGGAATTTCTTTAAGGAATAAATAAGATTATGTGTAAGTGCCAGCACCTGGCACATAGTAAGCACTTTATATGTGTTAGTGATTTTAGTTTTCAGAGTAACTAAAACAAAAAATGGTTAACATGTAGAAGTCTTGCAAAAGAAAACATTTTATTTAACAAGGTTGGTTTTTTTTAATTGTTTTAAAATAGAGAACAAATTATTTTCTGTTCTCTTTCTTCTCACTGTAGTCTATTTTCTGATACATATCCTGGAGCTGCTTTAGAAACTGATGTAAACTCTTCGACATAAATTTCCAGCCGGCAGTCTCCTTGATGTGACGTAGGTTGATGGAGTAGTGTGATTCATGATGCCTGAATGGTATAACAAGTTATGTGAGAAAATGAGTAACGTGTTGCTATTACAGCGATCTCAGGCACCAAGAGTAATGTGTTAATATGTTTATCTGTGAATGGACAATCAATGAATGAGAAGCATACATATTCTTCTGCTTTACTCTTGAAGATCACAAAAGATAATTTCTCATCTCAAACTAAATTCCAGGTAAATTGAATGGTATTTGGAAAATGATGGTTTGGCTTTCTGTAGAGAAGTTTACTCCAACTTGATCTGCTGGAAATCCAACCACCAATCCAAGATAAGTAAAGCCTGAACGGCCATGTTTAGGTATCTCATGTAGTTTTAGAAGTGAAACAACAACAACAACAAAAACTGACTGGTAGGTACAAGAAAGATGAGATAACACTATGTAATCCAGAATAATATTGGGCATTCACAATAAAGGAATGAAAAACTACCTTGATAATATTTGCTGTTTTCTTTCAACCCACCTTGCCAAGGAATTTGGGTTAAATATTCTCTATCACATGTGCCAGAAGCACACAGGCATTTTCCTCTGATATTCACTATGAAGACTTAGTAGAGTCATAGAGGGCAAAATTTATAAAAATGTGGGACCCTTCTATGACTGGGTCCCCCTGGAGTTCTTAGACTTGCTCACACTGAGCCTCTAGAAACTTATTAGTTAAAGTTCAGGTTTCCCTACCTGAACACTGGTTCCTGTAGAGTTTTCAACTCATGGGTTTCTGCTCTGATAAATTGTGATTCTCTATGTCTGCCTGTCTCTCCAAGTTTGGGGACAGTGCCTGTCTGTCTCTCCAATTTTGGGGACAGTGATTGGTCCTGTGAACTCACTTCTGTGACAGATTTAAGAAGAGTTGTTGATTTTTCATTTTGTTCAGCTTTTTATTTGTTGTTAGGATGGAATGGCAACTTCTAAACTCCTTCCCTACTGGACCAGAAACTAAGTCTGTGTAATATTTTTGATCTTTTTTGAGTAATCAATAGCTGAATTATCAGTGTCTGAAATAATTTCAGAATTTCTGGTTAGAATTTTTTAGCATAACAAAAGATTATTCCTCACTATGCCTATGTAGGAGTAAGTTATAATTGTATTATTAGTATTCATTGAATTCAAGAAATTGAGGACATTTTTCATAGTCAGGGGAGCTGGGCAGGAAAACCGTTTTAAAATGGAAGCAAAAACCCCAAAATTGTGCTGGTTCAGGTGCAAAATGTACACATAAGCTGCACAGAGTGGTGCAGACCCCCATTTCACCCATCACTGCTGCACCAAAAACCCTGCCTCAGCTCATTTGTATGGCTCAGCAGATGTGCCTATGACTAACTGAAGGAGGAGGGAAAAGCCCAAGGCTGGTTGACCAATGATTAATATATATATAATACATAACATTTGGAAGCAAGTGAAAAATGGAATGCTGTACAGACTGGTCAAGGAGAGACTGGGGTAAAGGGACGTCCCCCAAATGGCAGTGCTTTGAATAATGCAGCTGCTCAGCCACTTCATTTTGTGAGAGAAGTGGTTGGATAACAGACATATATACCAACTCATAGGCAGTTTCAGTTGGCTTAGCTGGTTGGTCAATGGTCTGGATGCACCAAGATTGGAATATTACAGATAAGAAAGTCTGGGGAGATACATGTAGACCTATGTGTCTATGGAAGTGGCCACAGGGTATGATGGTATTTCTCTTTCATATTAGTGTTCACTGCAGAAGAGCCATTAGTGACAAAAAGATAAGATTATTCTGTCAGTAGGTGTCAACAAATCTCTGCTCACAGTGGACTGATGACCAGAACAGAGTAATCACAAGAGCAGAGGAAGAGCTTATGCATGGACACAGCAGCATGGACACCACTTTACCAAGTCTGATCTAGCTACTGCTGTCGCCAGTTGCAAAGTCTGCCAGCGGCGGAAACCAACTTTAAACCCCTGATATAATATCACTGCTCAGGGAAATGAGTTACTTGATGACAAGTTGATTATAAAGGACCCTTTCCACCCTGGGAAGGTCAGTTATTCAATCTAACTTGGATATGTGTGTGTGTGTGTGTGTGTGTGTGTGTGTGTGTGTGTGTGATTTCAGATATGGGTTTGCTTTTTTTAACCACAATACCTCTGCCAGAACTACCACTCAGAGGGTCACAGATTGTCTCATCTACCAACATGGAATCACATATAACATTGTCTCTGGTCAAAGGAGGTCAGGTGGTGGGTACAAAACCATGGGCTCCACTGATCCCCCCACACTGCACTAAACAGAAGCTTTCAGCCTGAGAAAGCAATGGGACAGTTTCTAAAGGGGCAGCTGATAGAAACTTAGAGATGACACCATACATAAATGAGGTATTGTTCTTTAATTGCAGTATACTCCTTAAGCCAATGATCATTATATGATCTTTTGTCTCCAACAGGTAGAACACGGGAGTACAAGAACCAAGAAGTGAATGTAGCTGTGAACTCATTTGCCAGTAATCTCAGTGAGCAACTTGGGCAATCCGTGCCATCTGTGCCTATAACTTTAGGCTGTCTGAGTCTGAAAGCCCTGGTTCCCAGGTTGTGGGGGTGGGGATACTTACACCAGAGAACATAATAGTGAATAGTCCAATAAATGTAAAGCTACAGTTGCCACCTGGTCACACTGGCCTCTTTATGCTAGTAAGCCAACAGGCAGAGAAAGGAGTTACCATGTTGGCAAGGGAATATGAACTAATTATCATAACGAGGTAGGACTGCTGCTGTATAAATGGGGCATAGAGGAATGTGTTTAGCACTCAGGTATTACACAGAGGCACCTTTGCCTTTACTCTGCTTTTTTAACTGTCAAAAGGCAAGTAGAGTGACCACAGCCTAATGAGGACATGATGACCTGGGCCTTAGACTCCATGCCAATGAAGGTCTGGATTACCCCGCTAGATAAACCACCTAGACCAGCAGAAGTGCTAGTCAGGAGGGAGGGGAAATTAGAATGAGTAGTAGTGATGAGGATGGAGATGAAAAGTAGCAGTTAAATTTCCATACCAAGTGCAAGGACTGTGGTTGGAACTTATGATGAACCTGAATCCTAAAGAAGTTATGCTAATGGATAGAAATGAGTAGATCTGTGTTGTGCATGGGTAGATTGTGGAGGACACTGCTGTGATGTGGCCCAGTCTCCCTTTCTTGGGCCAAAGAAAGCACCCAACTTGCATTTAGTGCTGGCAGCTAAAACTCACGGTTGCCTTTTTGCCAAAGAATTGTCTTTTGCCATTAGGCTGCTGCTTTGCATGGGAGGGTACATGCCCCTTATGCCCTTATGTCCCTCCGTGGGGAAACCTAAAACCAATGACTAGTTCATGTAGAAATAAATCAGCCCCTTGACTAAAGAAGGGAGCAAATATGAAGTGCAAGGAATGTTCCAGAGCTCCCTGTGGAATCCGAGTGCTGAGAACATACCC